ATTTCTGATGGATCATGTGACGAAGCTTGAGATGATCAGGCATCCAAAATATTTATCACCCAGAATATTCTCTGTTATAAGAAAAAGATATTATTTTGATACATGGCATAGGACCTTTATACAGTATCAATTATGTGTTTCCGTCAAATCAAGTCATATAGTAGCTCAAAAATATATTATATATCATTTTTGTAATATTTATAGAAATAATGGAGTGAAATCACTGTACGGGTAATCTGTAATCTCATTTATTGGTTGGCTGGTTTATCGGTCCTTGCAATTTGTCCAGTGCAAAATGCGTTTTTCAAGTTTATCATTGTCTTAGTGCTTCTGTTTATCACCTGAATAAGGACAGCTCTGTCTGAAGGACATCACCACTGCTGACAAATTATATTGCTGCACTCACACATGATGCAACTAAATATTCTGCATACAACAATTCAAGGAATTTTGTTTAGTTACGTTTAAGGGAAAGAATGATACAGGCCTGGAAAAGAACACAAGTGCATAAGAATGAGACTATTATGGCTACATGACGACTAAGTATTGAAATATACTCTTACATGTATGTGTCTTCCATTGTGCTCGCATGCATTGTGCAGCTGCTGTATGCACATGCTTAACTGCACTGTGCGCTTCCACACATTTAGCTGCTTTTCGCACATGCTTCCTTGCACTAACCTTAAGTGCCTTAGGTTGGCTTTAAGGTATAATCTGAGCTTTAGAAATGTAGTGCTTTGTCTGTTTCAGTTTGACCATAATGACTCACAAATACTGCATAGAAATATATTCAAGCACCAACACGCACATTTCACACACTTATATTTGTGAGGAAAATCTTTGTCTTCCCTTCTTTCACTGTCTTTCAATTGCTTCGTCTTATTTTTTGAAGGATCTATACTGAGAAATGTCAGAAAACAATAAAGGAATATAGAGTGTAACCTGTGCAGATATTTTTAATTGCATCAACACACATTTGAGAATGTATTAGAGGGACCACCTACCTAAAAATATATTATGATATAATATTTATATATACACATTACTGTGCTAAGCCAGTTATTTCTGTGTTTTGCTGTAGTGTCAGTATAGGTTTCTTCAGGTTCTTCAAGCATCTTGGAAAGGTTGCCACTGTTCTTCGGGATTTAGTCTGCCTCCATTTTTTTTTCTGATTCTTCATGTAATTCCAGACGGACTGGATTAGGTGAGATCAGATCTCTGTGTGGAGCACTGGCAGTTGTCAGACTCGTGCATTTAAAAATCTCACTGGATTATTACAATTAATGGCAAAAGGAATGTGTGGAAATGTAAACTGATATTTGTGAACGATCTCTCTTCCACAACTCTCAGTACCCTCAATACCCACACTCAGCGTGATGCCACACTCTGTTGGTAAATAGTAAATATAGTAGGTAAATAAAAGAAGAAATTAAATAAGTAAAAAATGAGGCAGGCACCGAACCCCCAATTGCTCCTGGGCACCAGAGTGTGTGTGTGTTCACTGCACACTGCTGTGCGTGTAAACTTGGATAGGTTAAATGCAGAGCACAAATTCTGAGTATGGGTTCCAATGCTTGACTACACGCCATGACACTTTCACTGTAGTACAGTATGAAATTACAATGGTTTTGTCCAATTTTGTATGTGTTACTGTTAAAGTCATGTGCTTCTAATTGTAGGCTATTATAGTTTTAATTTAATTCATATCATTCAATAAAACATGATATAGTAATAAATAACTAATTTGTGCATGATATATTCATGCTTGTTACCATTCAGTTTTAATAATGTATTAGACTGATGATGTTTTGTCTTTAACTGGTGTAATTCGAAACATTGTTACTTCTTTTTGGATTTTAATTAGGTTGCATTAGGATTTTTTTTTTACTGTAAACATGAAGAGATACTTGAGGAACAGAGACACACTGGCAGAACCCTCTGGTAAACACTGCAGGACACCGGCCCTCCAGGACCGAGTTTGGACAGCCCTGTTCTATGGCATCGTGAAGCACCTTTATTTTTAAGTGTATGCACCTTTTCAAAAAAGGGCAGTTCTCTGAATTTACAAGATGGAGCCAAGTTTCTGACCAAACACTCCTTTAGTATGCCGCCTGTTTCAACGGAGTAGCTTACTATGTCTATATTTCTGAATTTGCGTGCACAATAAAATATCTGAGGCACCTTTAAAGGGTGTGGCAACCTCAAATGGTGGCAACATGTCCCTTTTTTTTTTTAACATTGTTTGCCAACTTTATTTACAGGACTTTGTCTAGATTATTTACACGAGCTCTGTCTTGTTGATTGAACAACAATTTGTAGCATACACACCCGTTTCAGCTGGTGGTAATGGGCAGGTCGTAGTTTTATTGTAATGACACAGCGTGATGCATATGGGCGTGAATCTCCTTTTACTTAATCTCACCATCCATCCCACTCTGTCTTCCTCAAGTGAGCACTACGGGAGTTCCCTCAATAACGGACCAACAGCTCCAGCATCCAAAAGCAGAAATAAGGTAAGACCGCAACAAACTCACTTGCATCCCGCCAGAACGTTTATATATCGATATAAATATCAAAGACAGTGGAAAGTTAACTCCTGTGCGTAGCGTCTGGTCCCCATTACTCAACGCCACCCAAAAATGGAGTTGGCTACCTTGACTTCTGTTCACGACGCGTTAAAGTGGAATTCATTTGAATTAAAACACGTTATCAGATTAAATGACGACGTAAAGCCACTTA